CCCTTTATGCGTCCTCTCCCCACCCACAATGGTTAGAGGAAGCCTTTCCCTGTGACACTCAATAGTGAGAGCTTTCAGTGTGAAAATGAGGCCTAAGGATAATTATCTAAATTATATGCAAACTATAATAAGGGGCTCAACCTGATCTAATAAGCAGTAAATAGCTAGGGAAAACCTGAAGAGAATTATGTGGATTCCTTGAGAGGTTTAAATACACGTCCTTAATTAGGTTTATTCGTACAGGGCCTACAAGTCAGCTCAGCATTAATTAGGAGAGGTGATTAGTAAGCAAATAAGACAGAGTCTGTATTCAAGCTCAGCAATGCTTCCTTCTAAATAAATGCATGGTAACCCAGATGAAGGAGCATCTTTGAGGAACCACATGACATCTGTTCACAGAGTCATCTTGCTGCTCTCTGACATTTTAGGAAAGGTCATGAGGTGTCCTAATGAAATGCCATGTCCTGGGGTAATACAGGGACTGTCTTTGGGGGCTAGGGCTGGAATCTGCTAGGATGCAGCTTGGTATTGGAAGAGAGTTCAGAATTCTTTCTCTCAGTATCTTGAAACTCCCTGAGGTTCATGACTTCTGTCTGAAATGTGCTCTGGGGCTTGCCAAGTGTGGAAACTGAGGCTCCAACACCACAACGTACTTGGGAAATGGCTCTATAAACCTAAGATGTAACTTTTTGTTGTTGTTTTTGGTTGTGGGGCTCGAACTTAGGGCCTGGGTGCTGTCCTTGAGTCTCTTTGTGCTCAAGGGTAGCATTATACCACTCAAGCTACAGCGTCACTTCCACTTTTTGAGGGGTTAATTGGAGGTAAGTCTCAAATGAACTTTTCTGCCCAGGCTGGCTTTGAACCATGATTCCCAGAACTCAGCCTCCTGAGTAGCTAGGATTACAGGTGAGAGTCACTGAGCTCCTTCTTAGATGTAATTTTACAAAGACCTCTCTCGGCTCCCAGCTTTTGATTCAATGAACCTCACCAAGCAGAACTGATTGGATGCTTTTACTCCAAAATTTCAAGGCCTCTTTGAAAGAACTAGAAATGTAATAGGAATTAGCTACCTTTCAGTGACCTGCTTGTGTCTTCCTCTTCCGCCTCCAAATGGCTATTATCTGCTGTAGACACCTATGAGAAGTTGGGTCCTAGGAAATTGGGTTCTAGAAGTTTGTTGTTAAATAATTGTGTGACACTGAGAAAATAATTGAATATCTTGGGCCTCCAGTTGCCTCATGTAGATTGGGATAATTAGTATTTTTTTAAGCCTAGCTGGGCACTGCCAATAACCTTAGTAACTTTCAAAACCATTAGGAGTCTTAAATGTCATTGGTGATGTTCTCCTAAATTACTCAAAGCTGCCAAATTGGACAAACATTGCATGCAATCCCTTGAGTATCTTTAGTGCTAAAGGTCTGACATGTTGCTTTCCTGCCCACATTACAGTTCAGATGCCCCAGTATTTCTGCCCAGGATGATTTCATTAACACATGCCTTCTTTCAACTATTGCATCCTCTACCCAAACTCCTATAATCTACTGCATACTATGTGTACTGTTCCCTGTCCATTTGACAGCCACAGGTTTCACCTTGGGGTGGTTGTAGGACAAAAGTTATGTTACATTTTACTTTAAAGAAATTAATAGGAGTCTGTCTGTCTATAGAATTTCTCAACTACTTTGTTAAAATCATTTCAACTTGAAACCAGGCACTGGTGGCTCACGTCTGTAACCCTAGCTACTCAGGAGACCTGTGCAGAAAAGTCTGTGAGACTCATCGCCAATAAATGCTACTCAGAAAAAGCTGGAAGTGGCAATGGTGGCTCAAGTGGTAGAGTGCTAGCCTTGAGCAAAAGAAGCTCAGGGACAGGGCCCAGGCCCCAAGTTCAAGCCCCAAGACAGGCAAACAAGCAAACAAAAAAATCATTTCAACCCCAAGACTTGTCAGAGCAAGGGATCAAAGGTACATTAGGTGAGAATAACTAAATATGCCTTGCCTGGGTAAATGCTGAGCTCTTTTTTGGCTGCTGATTCCCTCTACAAAAACTGCATGCCAGTTTTCCCAGGAGGATAAGAGACAAAAAAAGTTTACAAGTTGGCACTAAACCATTTACCCTGCTTTATAAAACCAGACTTCTGACATCTGCAAAACTCTGTTTCTTTGTCTAGAAATGGGAATCAGAATAGCAGATGGAGAAGTTTTCAATGGGGACAAAGTATTCATTTGTGTCTGGTTGAATAGCTAGCTGGGACTTCTACTTGCTAAACATCCACTAACAAAAAGAAATAGAAGAAGAAAGAAAAAAAAACGAATTTTCATTTTTCTGATTAGTTTCACAAAGAAAAGGTTTGCTCAGAGAGTGACTACCTATGTATCTTAGAGTTAGTAAAGCACTCTTTGTAGAGGTAATACCAAGAACAAATGTTTATGTAATTTTAACACCAATATATACTGTTCTAAACACTTAATGTATACTAACTTATTTAATTCTTCAGACTGCCCTATGAAGCATAGGAATTACTACCCTCCTTTTTACAGATGAAGAAACTGAGGCATAAGGTAAGTAAACTGGACAGTTACACAGATGGTAAATGAGAGAGCCAGGATATTAATAAAACACAATGTGGCTTCAGACTCAAAGGTCAATCCTTGGGCTATGGAAGTGTATAAAAATAAATATTTAATGTTCAAAGATAATATAGCAATACCTATACACCTAAATGAATAGCCTTGATTTCTTTGAATTTCCTCTTTTATGAATATCCATTCTGTTTTTTTCTATTTCAGAGCCTAACACAAATTATGATGATTAGAGTAACAATAACACAATATAAATTAGTTTAAATTTATGTAGTATCCAGCACTGTGTATGTCACTGTTTTATACATGTCATCACATTTAGTGCTTTTGAATGAGAGTATCAACAATGAATTCTACTGAGTAGGTTGAATTACCAAGAGTAAAAAAAAATCAAGTAACTTTTGCCAGGTCATATACATTTATTTGATACTCTTGAATGAACTTGGTCTGCCTGGATTCAGAACTATTCTCATCACTAGTGAACTAATCATCTATTCTTAGAAACTTTTAATGGTGGGGAATATGACTGGACTTGTAAAAACTGGCTGAAGTCATCTGTGATTGGCTATACGTTTTATGAATTGCAGGTACTTGAGATCAATTTTCAGTTAAAATGATCATCTGGCCAAAGTACAGATGGCTTGTCTTCTGTGATTTATAGGTTATCTGAAGGCAAGCCACAAAAAGCAAACCAATTCATGTGAAGACAATGGCACCCTATGGTAGCCTAGACTCTCGAGTGACTGGCTTCACAGGACACTCTTAGGAATGTTATTCCATATTTGACAGTGAAGGTTAGCATTGAAAATTATGGCCAGAGGCTTCCCACATGCCTTCTGGCTACAGCAGCTACAACTACCATTCACCACCCTGCTAAGGTGGTGGATTTCAAGTTCTGTCATGATGATCATCCAATTAGCCACTTCCACACTTGTAGCACTTCAGTCCCATCCTATGAGTGGGGATTGTGCTGCCCGAAGGACCTTCAGTGACCTTATATATACAAAAACATCCCTTAAGTGGGTAGGAAATCTGACCATCTCCGTTTCCCTTAGTTCTGTATAGGACAAGACTCACTAACCTATTCTTTGTTTTTCACCATTCTGAAGGTGACACATGGTAGCATCCCTTTCTTTCTAATATATAGTTCAAATTTAATAGGTATATAGGTTTTAATTTAACATATAGCTCGAAATTAATTTTCCAAGGAAAAATTGTGAGAATAACTCAGTCACCATTCTTAGTAAGGAAATTAAATTACCGTGTTAGGGGAGTGGGAAGAGGAGAGGAGAGGAGAGAGGAGGAGAAAAGAGAAGAGAAGAGAGGCGGCACCAATGCACATTTTTAGACTAACATGTGTGAGGTGTCTTCCTTGAGTTTTTCAGGATGCTGTTTTCAGCAGAATTTCCTGTCCAAAGTCAGAACACTCTAGGGTTCCTATGCAATGTTACCTCCTACGGCTCTTCCCTCACCTAGCTCTCTCTACCAGAACCAAGTGTGTTGTGTTATACAACTTCCAGAAGTTTGGAAGTATCTTCCATACCTTATTGCTTTCAATATATGTCAGCCAAATAGAGAGTGGTCCATGATTTTTACCGAAATGTAGAAGTAAAAACTCCTACAAGTAAAATTTGTGTGTGTGTGTGTGTGTGTGTGTGTGTATAATTACACATATTAAAGCCTCCATAAAAGAAATTCTCTTCCTATACAAACTTCTGTTAGGAACAGCTGCTCAGATCAATAGCATTCTGTATGGATGGCAGGCTATCTCTTAGAATCAGAAAGGAAATAGGCTGTGATGATCATTTTCACCTTGAATCAAGATAAATGGTAGACATGAACAGGACAAATAGAAACCTAAGAGCAACATTATTTTTACTAAAGCAAGGAAAATAGATTTAGGAAAAACAGATCTAAATGGATGAGACATGGGAAATAACATCATAAATAAGGATTAACTATAGAAAATGAACCAGACACACACATGCAGTACCACCTGGACTCTCTTAGATGTGGCTGCTAGAAGATGGGTGTGGCATGGTGATGGATAAGAGGCCAGGAAGGCTGTATATGAGGGAATAGGTAAAGAGAGTTGCACTTGATGAAGGCATAGTGAATGTATGTATGGAAATATCTCACCACACCCCATTACTATGTATAATTAATAGCTGTTAATAAAAATGGATTTGTCATACTCTTAATTATAACAGTTACTATGTCTGATCTCATTAAGAAGTCCTAGAAGGAAGACTTTCTTTCTGCTCATTGTGGAATAAAAGGTTAGGCATACAAGGCAAGGTCACCCCACCAGTTAGTGGCATAGTTGAGGATGGGCCTGGACAGTAAGTCGCAGGCTCTTGGCCACTCTGATGGATGTGAGATCGCCTTTGGAAATGAATGGTGGGCTGTCTGATTACCATGGCTTTGTTGGAATGGCCACCTCCTTGGAACTCAATGGTTCCAAAAGCGTCCGTCGGGCTGAGCTGAGTGTGCTTGCTGATGGACCACTTCTCAGACTGAGTGTCATTTCGGGAGAGGCGACTTTCATTTTTCTCATTCTGAAGCACAGAGATACTGGGAGTGAGTCCGACATGTTGGCCTATTAGACGCCCACAGCAACACCTATAACATAAGAGGTTAAAAACATGAACCCTTTGTGTGAACACTACTGGAACTCACACTTCAGGTAATCAGCTGTAGAAATCTACAATCTGTCTTGACCCATTTTAGTCACTTCTCAGACACAGGCTGCTGTATCTCATAAATAGTGAACTCAGGAACTTCTTCCCTCCAACTCTCCATTAGCTATGTAAGCTACAATAAGGCCCTTTGACCTCCTTCCACAGCTTTTTCAGCTGCATTGTTGGGAATTGGATACTTGTGAACAAAAGTTGTCTAGATTTTTCTTTTTCTCACTCTTTCCATCAATCAACTGCTGCCTGAAGGACACTGAACACTTTGAGGGGAGAACTTTAATATGCACATTTAAATGAGGAAATCTCACTTATATGTGAGTCGTAACTTAACTTGTCTCTCCTCAATTGGCATTTGCTGTCAACTATCCAATTCTGAGAATAAAAAAAAATCCATAAGCTTATGCGATCTTGGAATAAAAATGAAAAAGTATTCAGAATATATTTGAGAACTTAAAATTTGCATCTTCTATCATAAAAATTCCTTTATATATTACTACTACCAAGTATTACAGATATTGGTAATGGTAGATATATAACTATCTTTTTAAAAACACTAATAATTTAGTATCTATTTAATGATGAAATACTGTAGGTTTGGAGGTTAGATAATTTGTCCAAGATCATACAGCTGGTCAGGATAATTGTCTAAACCATATTTTAAATTGCTTTATGGTATTTCCCCTCATAGAGTTATTTCCTGATGTAGATGGGCTAAGTTATCCCCAATGATTACCATTTTATATAGTATTGATCTTCAGGAAGGTAAGTAAAGTATGTAAGAAGATGTGCAGAGGAATTTAAAGTGCTGCAGTGTCTTCAGTAATCTGCTAGGCTTCTTTAATCTAGTCTACCTTTTTTTTTCTCTGTAGTAGAGCATACTGGTACAAACTAATGGAGCCTGATGCTGGTAGTTCACATCTACAATCCTAGCTACATAGGAGACTAGGATAGAAATGATCATGGTCTGAGGTCAGCTAGCCATACATGTGACACCCCCTCTGAACCAATAGCTGGGCACAGTGGTTCATGCCTGTCAGCCCAGCTGAGTAGAAGGCTAAAACTTGGAGGACTGTGGTTCTAGGCCAGCCCAGGCAGAAAAGTTTGTGAGACTCTATCTCAATGGAAAGAATCTGGGCATGATGGCGAACACCTGTCATCCAAGCTATGACAGCAAACATAAAGCAAGCAGATTATAGTCCAGGTACATGCTTAGGAAGAAAGTGAAATATGATTTTAAAAATGACCAGTACAAAGAAAAAGTGCTGGTGGTATGGTTCAATGGTGGTATATCTACTTAGTAAACACAAGGTTGTAAGTTCAAACCCCAGTACCTGGACCCTCAAAAAACCATAACCACCATCAATAAACTAAGCATTTTGGTAAAATATTTTAAGAAAACAATGTCAGGGTTGGGAAGGTGGCTGAGTGGTAGAGTGCTTGCCTTGCATGCATGAGGCCTTAGGTTTGATTCCTCAGCACCACATAAGCAGAAAAAGCCAGAAGTGGCGCTGTGGCTCAAGTGGTAGAGCGCAAGCCTTGAGCTGAAGAGCTGAGGGACAGTGCCCAGGCCCAGAATTCAGGCCCCACAACTGACAAAGAAAGGAAGAAAGGAAGAAAGAAAGAAAGAAAGAAAGAAGGAAAGAAATAAAGAAGGAAAGAAAGAAAGAAAGAGAAAGAAAGAAAGAAAACAATGTCAAAACCATAATAAGACTCATTATTATATGCAGTGATTAGCTGCTTCTGCAGTGAAAGAATGTACAGGCTTTGGGGCTAATTGTTAACTGTAGGCATGAAATATGAAATATTATGTTATATGTAATATATAAAATATTTAATACCTATTCATATATAATATAATAGATAAGTGTATGCCTCAAATGTGTCCTGCAGTAATGAAAAATTAAAGATGTTTCATTTGACCATGGTTTTCTTCTAATGGTAGTAACTGCCATTGCAGTTTCTCCCTATAATTGCTAGTACATTAGATAGTAATGTATAATTACTTGACACATTAGAGACAATAATATTACCTATGGGGGTCTTTGGTGCTGGGTATGATGTGAACACATTCTCTTTTATAAAATGCTCTTTCTATCCAGGATTTCTGAGCCTGAAAAGAGAGAGAGATAAAAGAAAGGTCAGTATAAGCTTTGAATATGAGTAGGAAGCAAAATTTCATAATCATATAATAAAGTAGAATATGATAAAAATTATGATTGTTTCACACATTTATATTACATAAATAAAAAACCAATGACTCATGGAATCTAATTTGGTTGCTGTTATAATAATATTGAGAATTAAAGGAAATAGCCAGGCTAAAAGTATTACTGGTGGATTTTTGTTTGTAGTGCTAAGAATTGAACCCACAGCCTCACATATGCTAGGCAAGTGCTCTTATCACTGAATAGTCTGTATTCCCAGACCATAGTAACGATAGTTGAAGACAAGAAGTACAACACAGATTACAGGGACAATTAATTTGGAGGGACAGAATTTGCTTCTGACCTTATACAAATATTCAGTGGTAAGCACAAATGCATTTAAATAATGAAGTTTTTGTGGCTTCCATTAGATTTTCCTTAATGATGGAAAAGAAAAATGATGGAGGAAATTATATAATTCAAAAGCCCAAACCATCACCATGCTTTTGTAAATTACTAATGCTTAAAAAGAGAGGAGGAGAAAGGAAACAAAAACATAAGGAAGATGAATGTCTTCCTCTTTGTCCCAAAGTTCATAGAAATGCCTTTAGAAGGAAATAAGGCAGCACTTCCTTTGGGTCTTTTCTCTTGCATCATGCCATTTAAGCACATTTAGCAGATACAGCTTCTTAGAATGGGTATATTCATGACTGTCCATCCAGAAATACTGGCTCTGAGATTAAGTTTCCAATGGACAAAGGTTATTCTAGCAAACTCTAAGATCTTTGTTCCAAAGCATCACTCTACATTTTTCTCTGCTACCAGCACTGGAAATAATAGAGAAGTCTTTCAGAAAACCCAATAAGCTACTCCGAATATTTCTTTGCTAGGCATTTAAGGTGCAAGTTACAGCATGTGATCATCTCTCTAATCTAATATCAGGTCTTAATTCATATGCTTAACACAAAACCAACTGAGTGGTTTCATTTGGCCTGTTTCAATCACTGGTGTGAACAGTTTCCAGCCTGTTTGATGCCTGTTCCTAGTCTTGATTTGGCCTAGTACACCAAGGTTTATCATTGGCTGTATGAAGTTGGGTTTGACTTCACTCACTCAGTCTGGTACTGTTGAAGTTGGCAAGAGTGGGTTGCAGCAATGGCAGTCATTTCTGAATAACTGGGATGGTGAACAGTTTACAAGTGTCAACAAGGGGTATGGTAGAGGGCCACCAAAAACCTAATCATGTTTGGGTGATGATCACAAGTGGCTCATATGATTTCTGAATGTTTGTATATTGCCAACACAAAAAGGCACACACAAGGTCTCAGAGACCTCAGGTGTAGGTGGACCCCTGTTACAAAGGTAACACTAGGAGTGTTGTTTGCCAGCTGGTCACAAAAGTGTCTGTTGTCATACTTCACTTAATATAATTTTTTCCAAGTCTTTCCATTTCCTAACAAATGGGGCAATGTCATTCTTTCTGATGGAGGCATAGAATTCCATTGTGTATATATACCACATTTTCTTGATCCATTCATCTACTGAGGGGGATCTATCTTAGCTATGGCAAATAATGCTGCAATAAACATAGTTTTGCTGGTAGCTTTAGAATGGTCTTGTTTGTGATCATTTGGGTAAATGCCCAAAAGTGGGATTGCTGGGTCATAAGCCAGGCCCAAAGAAACATAGGTCCCATGGTTTCCCTGATTTGCAATAACTAGTATATGTCTGAGACAAGCAGAAACAGTCAGATAAGTTGATGTTAGGTGAAATGAACCCCAAGATAAGGACTCAAATGGTTTTTCTTTCTTGCTATTGTTTCTAACATATTTATAAGATGATTTCTTTGTTGTTTTGTATGTCCCTCCCCCACGGTATAACCCCTGTTGTCACTGTATTTGATGTCGGTATAATTTGGGGAGGGGAGGGGAAAAATCAAATTGTTTAAATAGGGATACAGGTGGACCCATTGCAACAATGAGATGTATAAGACGTTAGGTCAAGAAGCGAACTTTACAACTTTGGTTCGGGGAGGGGGGGGTGATGGAGGGCAGGGATGGGAAGGGGAAACAAAGGAAAAGGCAACAATGCTTGATAAGAAATGTACTCAGTACTTTGCTCATGTAATTGTAACCCCTCTGTACAGTCTTTTCACAATAAAAAACACTTATTAAAAAGTAAAAAAAATTAAAAGTAGGAATTACAAAAGCAAAAAAAAAATCCATTGTCAAAGCCTTATCAAAAATGTAGGCAAAAACGGAGCCAAGAAACCAAAACAACAACAACAACAAAAACCATAGTGGCTCCATTTTTGCCACGTAAGTTAGCTTAGCAACAGCGATAACCAGGGTTTATCTTTGTAAAAAGCCTGTATTCATGGGTCAGGATTGTCCCTAGACACTGAATACTTTCATTGATACTATCTCTTGGCAGGAAGATGGTAGAATGTCCCTCCCTGGATATCTGAAACCCATTTCCCTTACACCTCAGGGAGCAGAGAAAAGAGAATAAACTACTATCTTTTTAAATTTTGCTGGCCAGCCTTCAAAAGCATCTGTGAATTTCAGGGCGTGCTGATCAATTTCCCTTGAAAAGCAGTATTGTTGGTAGAACATGAGGACTGGAGTTGGAAAAAGTTGTGTCTGTGGGGCTTTGGGAGATGGAGAACATGACATGAATTCTTTTATCCTCAGATCTCCGATTTTCCCATCTCTAGAAATAGCACCATGGTAATAGATGACATAGTTGTTCTTACCATATTTTGGTTACCATCCTGTTATATCTAGAAATGGGACTGGTCTTGGTCTGATTTTAGTGCTGAGTGGTTGGATGGAGATTCAGGTGTACGTTCTAGGAAGTTCCTGTAGCAATAACCTAGTTTGTCTTTCTTTATATTGGGTAACACAGGGCACCTGGCTGGCCACTACAGAAGGTAGAAAGAAAAGTGACTTCACTTCTCTGAGCCTCTTCTCTAGCATGCCAGCTCCTTAGGGAACTTTAGCTATATGTGTGTGAGAGTGTGTGTGTGGGTGTGTGGGTGTGTGTGTGAGAGAGTGTGTGTGTGAGTGTCAGTCCTGAGGTTTAAACTCAGGCCTGGGTGCTGTCCCTGAGCCCTATTTATTTTTATGCTCGAGGCTAGTGCTCTATCACTTACTGCAGCACCACATCCAGAACTTTCTCCGCCCCCGCCTCGAAAGTTAGTTGAAGATAAAAGTTACACAGACTGGGCTGGGAAGGTGGCTCAGTGGTAGAGTGCTTGCCTTGCATGCATGAGGCCCTGGGTTCAATTCCTCAGCACCACATAAGCAGAAAAAGCCAGAAGTGGCGCTGTGGCTCAAGTGGTAGAGTGCTAGCCTTGAGCTGAAGAGCTGAGGGACAGCCTCCAGACCTAGAGTTCAAGCCCAGGACTGGCAAAAAAAAAAAAAAAAAAAAAAGTTACACAGACTTCCCTGCTTGGACTGGCTTCCAACCTCCATCATCAGATCTTGGCCTCCTGAGTAGCTAGGATTACAGGGATGCGCCACAAATGCCAGGATGGAGAGCTTTGTGATCATCCCAACAAGATAATTCAGCTAAAACACCTGAGATCCAATAGGTTCCTTTGGGTTCTAATTGGGTATTGTGTCCTCTGCATACCATCTCCACAGATCCTCAGAAGAACTCTGTGAGAGAGTTCTTGGCTACTCTTATAGCCATTCCTCCAAAGAAGAAATTGAGACCGGGATGTAGTAAATGAGTATTAAAGCCAGAATTTGAGCTTGAACAGTGCGATTCTTGGATTCCTACTCTTGTTCACTCTGCTACAGGCTTCTTCAGATGAGATATTATTGGCAATCGCCCCTGCTAGTTTCTGCATTTGGAATGAAGAACCTTTAGCTATTTGTTCATTTCTCTCTATTTAAGGTAATGCATAGGGTAGAAACCCAGGAACGTTGGAAAGAGGTAAAAGAAGGGATAGTCATTGTCATGGTCTCAGCAAAGAAATAAAATCACAGACTTTCAATTTGAGGGTTTGGGGGATTGGAAACAAATGGATTAAAAATTTCAAGGACAACATTACTTTTTCCATTCCTAAATTCCCGTTTTAATTTGGAAGTTCCTGATGACTTCACTAAGTTGGCATGTGTTAAAAAATACATTATAAATGTATGGCCAAATGGATTTTTAAATCTTTGAGTATAAAGTATTGTGACTTTCTCAAAGGTAAGAAGGCACCCTCATTGTTAGCAAAATGACTGAGGATCAATTTCTATTTATTGTTAGTAGTAGATTAATAGTTTCCTTTGCTAAGGCATAGACAAGTAGGAGGAAGAGAAGAAATATAAAGTAAAAGATACATTGTAGTTGACTTGGATTCTTTTTGTTTCTGAGAAAGACAACACATCTTAAAATAATATATGCATAACATGTTAGGAATTCTAAAAAAAATAACATGCACAGTTTGCTATGCACTATTGTGGGATTTGCTTTATTATGCTTTTATCCAGGTCTTTAGTGTGGACAGACATTAGATTCTTAAAATTGTTTTTCTTGGAGAGGGTATTTTTGAAGTATAATCATGGTTTAACTTGTTCCTTAAACTAATTCTCTTTTCTTTTGTTCTAAGGCTTTCAAATCCTCTGTGTGAGACTTTATACTTTGCTCCAACTCCAATGAAGTTAGTACACACTGATTGTCCTTGTTGCTAGAAAGCATGCAATAATTTTGACATGTCATGTTTCTAGCTGACCTTTGAGTTCTTTTCTAGCATAACACTTCAAGGGACAGTGTGTCCTGAAATCTTTTCTTTTTAAATATGCTCCAGAAGTCTCTCGTCCTGTTAGGAAAAGTAGTTCCTACTCACAGAAAAATGACTTGTGCGTATTTTTTTAAAGGTAGCATAGTCACACAACCATTACTGAGTTTGTGAAGAGCTCTTTTCCTTTATGTCTTTCTGCATTATCGGTCATGTGTAAGATGTAACAGGCAAGTGTTTTTCAAAGGCTAATAATGAAAAGATACCTTATTAAAAAATTTTATTTCCACATTTTGAACCAAGTACTAATGATTGCCCACAATTAAGCATATATTAACTTTGGAAAATTAAATATACAATCCATAAGACATCAGACTGATAGAAACCAAAAAAAGCTTGTAAATATTGCGATAAGAAGAAATAAAAAAAGCATAAGTCTTTTCATCCCAACAAGTTTTACTCTTTTCCACAAAGTCTGTGACCCCATCATCGGGTCTCAAACTAATTTAATCCTTCTACCCCCACGAGCTATAGACCCAATATCACCTCCAGGAGAGAAGAGCTTAGGCATATACAAATATAGACAATATATTAAATATCTCTTGAGAAAGTCTTAGACAGTGCTATTGTTATTTTATTTTCAGAATCACTTAACAGAAAGACTACAACCTGAACCAGCCATCACAAGATCATCAAAGAGCACGTTAAATTTCTAGAAACAAATGCAAAGAAAATTTCACCCCCTCCTCTGTTCTAAACGCTTGTGTTTCAGGTGGATCACTTGTTTTCATTGGAGCAAAATACCAAAGACCTAAAGGAATCCACTCCATTTGTTCCTTGTCTGCCTTTTGTTTTCTCCCAAGATCTCTCTGGGTACTTCTTTGGTCTTCCTCTAGGTCCCCAGCTCCAACATTTGAGAAACTGATCAAAAACAAAGTGAGCTGAAATCATTCTTTACCTGAGCACTGACTCTGGCTGGTGGCAAAGGCTGTTCCCGTAGTAGCTCCTGTTGCTTTCATTTTGCTGTGGCCAGGCCTGGCCATCCTGTTAATAATGCTCTTATGACCGCCCACTGGGAAAAAAAAGTCCCTTGCTAGGCTCTTCCCCCAAGAGATGTTTCAAGTAAGCCATGAACTTGGGGCGGATTAGCCCCTTGGAATGTGCTGCTGTGTGGGGATTAGCCTGACTCAGAAGCCCATGGACCGTCCCTCCTCCTAGTCCTCAAACACTGCTTGATTTGAACATCTAATCTGACGCCAGAAGAAAAACAAATCCCCGGGGAGATCGGATTTAACTGGCACAAGTCCTAACAGGCTCCCTCGCGCCCCACCCCCTTTTCCCCCCACTTTTTTTTTTCTTTTCCATTTTCAGAGAGAAAGCTTGTGAAAGTGTGATAAGGTGTTCTGAGTTCTGAAACTTCAACTTTGGAAAGCAAATCTTTTTTGAAGAAACAGTGTCTGAATTCTCTGAGGGTTTTGGAGCACACAAGCAGCATTGTTCCACCAGCTGGAAAAGGATGGAAAGATAGCACTGCTTTAAAGAAGAACTGTTATTAAAAAACAACCAAAAAAAAAAAAACCCTCTCTCAAGAGTGTTTCCAAAGAATACTTTGGTTCCCAAACAGAAGTCCAAGTAGAATAAAAGTAAGAGGCTGACAAAGACCTTCTATAAACTGGAATAGCAATAAATTGCCTGGTCATACATCTCATCCTGCAGTTCATCCCTGATCAATACAACAACCTGATTAGAAATCTGTCCTCCTGGTTCCTTATTAACCAATGGTGGCCCCTGGAGAATATGAACAAGGATGGAAAAAGTAGACAATGCAGCGTGTTTTCCTGGGGTGACTCAAACTATGACTGAAAAGACTCTTCCCAAGATCATTGAAGAGCAAAGGTTTTCTGTTTAAGGTAATAGGAATTCTAGTAATAGCAGAATTGAAAAAGATACTAGGAATTTTTTCTGTTGGAAAGAGTTCAAACTTCAACAAGCCAGGAACACTTTTCAGAAGCAGAAAAAAGGGCAGGGATGTGCAAACAGGTTCTGTTGAGGGGTAAACACCTGTGAAAGGGGGAGCAGGAGGGTAGAGGAGGGTGAAGAAGGTCAAAGTACTTTATTTTATGTATGAAAACAAAATGAAACTTGTTCAATTGTCCTAAGAAGGGAGGGAGGGCGGGCATGACAGAGGTGGTGAATTTGATCAGGTCCATTGTAGGGATGTATGGGAGATCACAATAAAACCCACTTGTTCAACTAATACAATTTTTTAAAAAAGTTAATAAAACAAGGTCAATAGTAATAAATATGCAAGTATATTCATACAGAAGTGAAAATAGGAACAATACATCTTTCTTTCTAAAGACAAAGCTAGAGCTAAGAGGTGACATCTGTAGATTCATGGCAGGAGTGGGGTTTGGATTTTTAGTTTTTTCGATCACCTTGTGTTAAAGGGACTATCACATGCCATGTGGACACTAAACTGAGAAACTGAGAATTAGGTCCTACAACTATCTTACTTCTATACTTCTTCCAGAATTGACCAACTACTCTCCTCCCCCCCCCCCATTTTATGATCACTCATTTTCTAATGTTTCAAGGGACAGTAATCTGGCTAGTGAGTTTCAACTAAAGGAAACTTAGGATCTGTGAAACTCAAATGGAAAACCAGACTGAGCTTCAGCATTTGCTCATAAGGGAGAAAGTCCCTTTGCCTTCCTGCAGGAGTCAGTACAGCTTTGTGACATACATTCCTCTTGTTCTGTGCATTCAGAACCCTCCTGAGAGCTCATTCTCAGAAAACCATGAGAAAGTTGAGCACACAAAGATAATGAATGCATTGTTCTGAATTATGTCAGCAGATTTGATTTTATATGACACCATGCTCTAATTTAAACACGTAGAACTTACTTGATGCTACTTTCAAACATTCATACTTTTTGATATAAGATGGTTTGTATCTTTTTCATTCTCCAGGTCTTGGTAACTTAGCTTTAAAAAGCATGGCTACCCTAACCTTCCACTTCTGGACTAAATTTTGTGGAGAGACTATAAGCTAGTATGTATACTGACTGTTGATTTGATACTTTAAGAAGAGACATTTACTAGTATATTTTACACTTGCTTGATGTGAAAAGTCTAACCTCATTTTTTAAGTAGGAAAAAAGCTGAGTGCTGGTAGCTCATGCTTATAATCCTAGCTTCTCAGGAGGCTGAGATGTGAGGATTGTGGTTCAAAGCCAGACCAGGTAGAAAAGTCCCAGGAGACTCTTATCTCCAATAAACTACTAAGAAAAAGCTAGGAGTAGTGCTATGGCGCTTGTATTTCTAATTCACAACAAAAATAAATGAGAAATGAGCCTTCCAGATCTGAGAACTTATTTTTCTAAAAATATGTGTATTTTTACCAGTTTATTTGAACAAAACACAAATGTTCTCTATGAAGTTATCTTGATTTTGCATTCTAAACCTTTCACTAGTCCTGATTTTTGTTATTTTTCAAGAAGTGATATTTTCAGAGCAAATGCTCCATACGATGGTCTCTTATTTCAAATATGTTCCGTTTGTGGGACTCTGATAGGGGCTAGGTGAATAGAGGTTTAAGAAATGTGGAAATCAGTAAGATTTCCTGAGTAATTATGTTTCATAGTAAAAGATGGTCAATGAGGCATTGTCTAGAATACACAAAAAGTAAAAACAAATTAAGTTCATCAACAGGACACTAAATAAATAATAGCTGATATCATTTGGTGATTCTATTCAGCCTTCAGTAGACTATTCGGTTATATAGAGAAATAGAAGTTTCATGCTGTCAATGTCAAAAAAGTAGGCCATACTACAATTACGATAGAGCTGGGAGCCGGTGGCTCACACTGGTAATCCTAGCTACTTGGGAGACTGAGATCTGAGGATTGTGGTTCAAAGCCAGACTGGGCAGGAAAGTCTGTGGGACTCTTATCTCCAGTGAAACACCAGAAAAACAGAAGTGGCGTTGTGGCTCAAGTAGTAGAGCACTTGCCTTGAGCTGAAGAGCTCAGGGACAATGCCCAGGCCCAGCATTCAAGCCCCACAACAGACAAAAAAAAAATATGATAGAAAAGAAAAGTTTAAGGTAGTGTCTATGGTTAGTTTTTATTTAATTCCATTTTTATTTCCCCATGCTTTCAAAAGTTTCCCCTGTATATGCATAGTCAGAAAACTGCATTTTGGATACTCCACTAAAATCTTCAATTGTCAAGTTTTATTTGTAGGATAGCAGGAGATTATTTCAAAAGAGAAGCTTAGAAGGTGACTAGGAAGAGAAATTCTGTGAAATGAGAGAAGGCTCCATAGTGGGGAAGATTTGGAAAGTGTAGTGTGCAAGGTGAGTTTTCTGGAGGGAAGTAGGAAGGGAGAAAGGGGGAAGGAAGGAAAGAGGGGAAGGCAAAGGTCAGGTATCCAGGAAGAAATTCACTGAGTTTTGTGTGGTTGTGAGGTTGAATAGAGTGGTTGTAAACAAGTCTAACAGATATAGATTTCAAAATTTATCTTTTTCAACTTACTTCTTCACTAGTTGCTACTTCAACCTTCCTGAAAGTCTTAAATTGGTGCTGGTCTCTGGGCTTTGAATTTAGGGCCTAGACACTGTCCTTGAGTTTTTTTCACTCAAGGCTAGTGCTTTATCACTTGACACTTGAGCCACAGCTCCGCTTCTTGCTTTTTTTTTTCTATTTTTTTTTTTTTTTTTTTTTTTTTTTTTAGAGATAAGAGTCTCACAGACTTTCCTGCACAGGCTGGCTTTGAACCTCAATAATCAGATCTCAGCCTTCTGAGTAGCTAGGCTTACAAGTGTGCGCCTCCAGTACCTTGCCTTTTAAATTTTGTTGGCTTTTGTGTATGTTTCTTTCCAAAGAGAAATACTAATAGAAAATAGAATGTGAGGCATCTTGCATTGCTACCAGAGTGCTGGACATTTGTCTAAGCATAAAGAGAAGTCCCAAGTGGATGCAAGATAGCAGTTTCTCCTACGAGGTAGCAGATGTCCTGAGGACTCTGATTCAAGAAGTTAATTGGTTCCAAAGAGACTTGTAGCGACAGGCCACGTTTTGTCTGTGACATCATCAAAAATTTTATGCATCACCTACCAACACTGTGGCTGGAAGGGCACAGTATCAGCCCTTTTGAGGAGCACTTCAATGATGATAGACTCTGAGCACTCACAAGAGAAGAACCACTGGCATAATGCTAACTGTGATTGTTCTTCATTCTATTTCATGTAACAGCACGATGTTTTATGCTCTCAATTCACCATGATTGAAAAATTACTCTTGCATACAATAGAAAATGACCCTTCTGTTGGTACACAATGCAAATTTTTTGAAAAGCAAAACAGTCAGATTTTCTGCCAGAGAAAAAAAATCTAGATTTTTGTATGGAAAATATATGTTCCATTTTTAATAAAACAATGTACGAAGCATTTTTCTGTCATTTACAGATCTGATAACAACACATTTTTGCAAAGGGGTAGATGGCACATATTTTAGGGCCTCTGGAAGCAATTCCTCCCCCTGTAATGATACTCTGTCACAGTGAAACAAAACCAACCACAAGCATCACATGCTGGTGACCATGTCTTCACTCCAGTAAAACAGGATGTGTGCTGTAACTTATGTGTCCTGGATAGCTTCTGATACAGAAAAATGTGATGGAGGGTAGCAGGGTAGTGGTTGTGGAATCCATCCTTTTGAGGTCCATTCTTCTCTCATATAGTTTCTCTTCCTCAAATATGTCAGGAAAATTCTCCTGCAGGAGCCTTGGCTCCTGCTCTTCCTTCCACCTTGGTCAACTCGGCATCTGATATTCACAACCATCATGCCCATCTGGACATCCTCTATTGCTTGACTCCCTCCGCCTACTTCATATACTCTTACATGACCTTCTTATGCCAAGCTTTTATGTGTGTGACTGTTGTTTGTCTGCAATCCCACCCCCCCAGAATATCAGTTCTCCAGGGTAGTGTATTTTTAATTATCAAGTAGTTGTACAAACAGGTTTCAATTATC